GGAAATGCTATACATGCGTAACTGTCACTTCTCTTCCACCATCCAGTACCCTACGCACCCCACCCCACCCCTCCAAAAGAAAAAACCTTTGACAATCTTGAATGCGCCCATCTCAAACATTTCAAGTCATTTCCCACAACAAACAACTCGAAACTGAGTAACATAGACATACAAAAATTGTGAAAATGGTTGGGAAAAAAAAAGAAAATAACTTGGATTGTGCACAGCAATGATTATTCAAGAAATCCATCAATTTTGGATGCCTTCCATGAATCCTTACCAGCAGAACAAGGCAGAACACATTCATACTGAATAAAGAACAATTTGATATAACCAATACACATTGAGATTTAGACTGGCTTTCGTTTAGCTGCAAATGTTCCATAATATTCTCTTCATTCTGCAGTGCAGGCTTCCAAATCTTTTTGGACTGTGGAGAAGTCGATGTCTTCCCCTGTGCAGCGCTTGTAAATATCTACAATATCCTGGCATGTTGTCTCGAAATGTGTGGTGGCATCGTATGAAGTGCTGATAAACACCTAAAGGAAAATAAAAACAACAACAACAACAAAAAACAGCGAGTCAATCAAGGGTTAGTGTGCATTGTTGAAGGGTTCTTCAAAAATAGGGAGGTAGCGTCGCCGGGTGGTTAGGGCACCAGACTTGAAATCCGGAGGTCGCAGGTTCAAGTCCTGCTCTGACCACTTAGCTGGAGTTGTTTCTTGGTAGACTTTAGTTCAACACTTTGGTCAGGCTTTTACATAGCCAACTGGTCTGCCTCCTGTCAGTTGGGATTTTTAACCCCATTATGTTTAGTTGGTTAATGGTATATCTATTTTTTAAGTTCAAGTGGCATGCCTGTGAACTAGCTGGTTGTAGCTACATGCACTGACCACTATAAATTACACATTTTGTTTTCTGAAATTATAATGTTTTGTAGTAGGTGGCACTAGGCATTTTCAGAGCATCCCAAACAAAAAAAAAAGAATTGTTTGTCATAAAAAAGGGGTTTAAAACATACTTGTAAATAAGCTGTTTCATTCTTACAGATTTGCAGATTGATACAAATGAAGACCTTATGAATTGGCTTACTGACAGTACAACTTTACCTTAGATTTACTACCATCATCCGTTGGAACAAAATTGTCGCTTACACAAACAAACCTGAAATCAAACCAAAAACTAATCAGGGACAAACACTGCAAAACTCTCACAACAAGACCCCACCCCACTACCATTGAACGAAATTAACCTCCCTGAAAAAAGCAGTTCTTAAGATAACTTCCAAAATCTCAAAATTCCAAAACAATCCATCTGATAAGACCCCCTTCCCATGGGCTTATATTAATTTTGCATCTTACTAGTTAAGAAATATCATAAAGAGCTGGAACTTGCTAACTTGCACTCAGTTACCATAAAATGCCGCCTATAAGCCCTCCCCCCTCCCCCACACTCATGAGCCCCCCCCCCCCCAGTTATACACCCATCTACCTGTAAACCAAATAAATAGATATAGATCCGGTTATAAGCCCCCCTCTAGCTTTCGTTGTTTTGAATTAGTTTTATTATGATGTTTTCAAGTTTAATTACCAGTAAATGAAAAACCTAAATTCTCGTTATATAAGCCACCTCGCATATAAGCCCCTCCATTTATAAGCACATCTCAAAGCCCTTACAAAGTTGTATAAGCCCAGGGCTTATAAGCAGCAGTTTACACATACAGTATTTAGAATGCCCCGTTATTTCCTACTCAAAACCATGTCCCCTTGATTTGCCCTTCAGTCATTTACTATCAGCTATTTCAAACTCCCACTATTTCAAGCTGTTTTTTCTTTCCCCTGACGGTTTGAAATAGTGGGGTTCAATTGTACCCCAACTCCCACTTCTTTCCATTATACCCCAACTCCCAGAGTCATAATCATTGCAAAAAGGAAACATTACAAAACACATTTAATTCACGAGGCATTACACTGAGCAATTATAGGTGCAACTTGTTCGTGAGACAGGTTACAAGAATAATTACTTGGTGTCACAGATGCCTTAAGTCAGATAACTCTTGAAGTGTACATACTTGTCTAGAACTGGGCCAAGAAGGTCAAGCCCAGGCTTCAGCTCTGCCTCAGGATTGCTTGTTTCAACTGTTGTACTCGCAATAGCTATGTAGTAATCTTTAGGTGCCACATTGTGGGCAAATGACACAACACAAACATATATATCTGGAAAAAAATAGTGAATAAATACCACTCAAGAGGTTAATTGCTACAAGCACGCACATTGTCACATTAATCCTTTCAGCCCTAAATTGCTGGGGCTTTTCTCCAATTTAATTAATAGGTCCCCTATGTACACATAATATGATTTAACAAATTGATGTTAGTTTTTTATGTGTCTGTTCTCTTATTGATGATAAATTGCATCACAACATTGTCAAAGTGGTTGTGAGTGGTTCCACCGTAAACTTTGACAATGTTATGACAAAATTTATCATCAAAAAGAGGACAGATGCATAAAAAACTGATGTCAATTTGTTTTTTACAATAACAAGAACCCAACAGAGAAATTTAAAATCACAACTTTATTTCTACAGTTAGGCCTACCATCTGCACTAATCCATCACGAAAACAAAGCTTTTCGAAAACGCTCCTCAAACCAGAGAAATTTGAAAATGCTGGCTTTTTGTTTTCGTGTGGATGGAAAACATTTTGAAAATGGAGTTTTACAACAATCATATGACAGTCATGCAATTTCCCAGCCCAAGTTTTTTTTCGAACACAAATCCAAAATGACCCGTGATTGTTGGTTTTTTTTTAATTCCTCTGGCACAGTGTGGATGGAAAATACTATCTTGATGCGGTTTCAGAGTGAAAACATGGTTTTCAAATTCCTCCAGTGTAATGCAGACAGGGTTGTAGTAGGAAAAGGATTAGGAAAAATACCTGACTTCCTGTGGACTTGGTTTTGAGGAATAATGATCTGGCAGGATTTAGAACCGTCCTTGGCCATAATTGGAGGCGGCTTATTCAGGAAACAAATGCAGCGAACAACCTATCATGTGAAGACAAAACGTGAGCTGAACCATATTTGGCAGAAAATTAGCAGAATTTGTACAAAACAGAGACTTACAGAAAGCAAATCTAAAATTACAACAATGGTTTTAAGAATGGTAACTGGGTAAATTATCCCATCGTCAAAAACCATTTTTGGAGTACTGAATTCTTTCTATTTACATTAGTTGCAAAAAATTTCAGTTTAATAATTTCTGGACACTTTTTTTAATCACATTTCTTTTTACATTAGTCGCAAAATACTCAGACATTAAAATTTTGGACGTTTAATTTTCAGACACTTTTCATCACATTTCAAACAAATTTTGGACAAAAATTTCAGACATTTTGCAGAAACATAGCTAAACTAAATTTGCACCAACAAAACAGAAACATCTGTGAAAATGATGATTTTACTCAACTGGCACTTGTTTTATGAACCTGATGCTGGGCAATTTTATCCAGTTACAAGCTCTCTTTCAGCTGGTGAGCACCTAGCCCCTCAGCCGCATTTCTGGACATCTTTTGTGTGGACAAATTTTCTGGTCTCAAGGTACACCACTTACCAGAGGTCTAATTTATGCAAAAATCATGTGGGGTCACAGTTTACAAGCCTTTGGATGATTGATCGTGCCAAATTAAAGAACATCATTATTTTCTCAGACAGTAATTTATGAAGATGCTTAAAAATTGTGCAGCACCCCTAAAATATTGAAGCTGAGGGGGACAAGATGCTTTAATTGCAAAATCTGGAGTGAACACTACCTCTTACAGGTGGTTCCCCTGTACGTTTGAAACTACTTCAACCTTTGCATTTCACCCGAGAGGCATTTACCTGTCCATCCTTCTTCACTTTGTCCGGGAAATATGAAGGATCACCAATCACCATTTTGGTTCTGGCAGTTTCACCTTGTGAAGTTACACCACAAACTTGGCCCATCTCATCATATTTGATTTCCTCTATGGGCTTATCCAGCATGTAGGTGCCACCATATATCGCACTTAACCTGGCAAACCCCTGAGGAAGTTCTCCCAGACCATATAATGGATATAGGTATGGTGACTTGCCGTATCTGGCTAAGGATTCACTACAAATTTCAATGAAGTGAAATAGGTTAAGGTTCCTGTGTGACTATCAATTTAAAAAATCCAATGTGGTTTAGCATTGTCTGTACTCTTATCGACAATGATATGCCTCATCATGGTGGTCGAAATGTTGTGGACTCGTGAGGTCCAGCCGATTGAGTCCACAACAAATTTTGATCACTGTGATGACGCATATCATTGTTGATAAGAGCACAGACAACACTAAANCAAAACATATGTGCTGTCTACAGGAGTTTAAAAAACTTGAATTCCAGCTTCCCTTGGGACAAGAAACTCTCAAATTTTTTTAGGCAGGTTCAAGTCTTAGGTTGTTCTTTTAACCATTTAGTGGGCAGAAGACTTGCCCAATCCTTTGCCCAGAGAGAACATTTACTTGTCCTGGATGACTAGATGGCACTTTTTTTTTGAGCCCTTTAAGTGTAGTTTATTGATTACTTTTCAACACTATTTGTTCTCAATTCCTATGAGGTGATAGCTGATTCGGCCTGCAGCCTCATTAACCACATGTATCACCCGAGTCTAGAAATCTTGAGCTCATAATCTCATTGTTCAATATAGTACTTAAGTATAGGAAGTTCTTTTTTAGGCTGGTGAACAGCCCTTCAAGGATTATGTGACTAGTTTTCTTATTAACTCTGTGCTCTGTTTGCTTTAACAAGGTGTAAGGGAACATGCACGTAAGGAAAAAATTGCCTCACCTTGGAATGTCTTTGGATCATTAGGTTCAAAGTCATTGACAAACATTAAAAGCTTGCGGAATCTTCTCTTCTCAAAAATTCCCATCAGGCTGGTTGCAAGGGCTTCTTTCTCGTCTGCAGGCACCTTGTAAAGTTTCTGATCTTTGTACACATAACTTCCTTCAACTGACTTAAATTCCAGGTACCTTGTAACACCACTTTTAATCAACAGTCCAACCAGATCCCCTAACAATAACAGGAAAACAATTATATTATTGAAGAAATAGGAAACATTTTCAGTGTTACTATTGAGCCATTCAAACATGTATGAGTGGAAGTTTGAGGGAAAAAGAAAGGTCTGCGACCATGAGCGGCAGGAGGGGGTTTCTACAGCATTTTTGAGTTCTCCTTATCTTTCACGGTTGTTTCTATTTAACAATTAGATTACCACCACGAGTTTTCTATGAGCAAGTAGTTAACAAGGCATAATCAGTTGACTATTGCTCATAGAAAAGGAGGGTGAGTAGTCTAATTGATTTAGTAGACACTCTAAAGGATTACAACACAAAACCTACAATTTTGTGTATTTTAAAGCCTAAAATAAAGAATAATTTTCAGTTTCAAGAGCAGCACATGTGCTTGTTGTCTATCAGCGAATAACAAAAAAATAAAGAACGATGAGAGGACCAATTAGATCTGCAGATTTCCAATAGAATTCGGATGATACTAAAACTTGATAGAAAATGGAGTGCTCTCTATTTGCAGGAACAAATGCAGGAAAAAGGAAAATCAATATGCGAATTCTCCTTGCTCATGTCATTAAGATGTTAACTACTATTTGCATGCTAGTGGGTACTACAAGCAAATGCAGTCAAGGTGCACTGTAGAGCATTTTCTAGAGTATGGCAAGTGAAGTTGGCACCAGGCCACCGAATGTCCTATACAGCCAGAAGTTATCCTGGTTTCTTAAGCATTAAGCAACTAAAAGTATTTTTACTCCCCCTGGATGGGATGCTAGTCCATCACAGGGTTACCCCCCAGCATTAAATTTGCCCGGATCCATTTATACACCTGGGTGGGGAGAGCCACCCTGAGTGTAATTTGTCCTGTCCAAGAACACAACCTAATGACCCTGGATAAGGCTTGAAACTGGACTGCTTATGCCAAAGTCCAGTTATCCATAAGGCCACCAATGGCATCATGCCTCAATGGCAGAATGTACATCATGCCATAGCAAACACAGCCAATCAGAATACAGGATTTCTAGACATTGTATATTTGATGCAATTACACCCAAACTTCCCATCATGTGCCAAACACACATATTGTGTTGATGGTGTTCACCATTTAACAAATCAAACGTGGTTTAGCATGGTCTGTACTCTTATTGACAATTATACGCGTCATCACAGTGGTCTAAATGTTGTGGACTCACAAGGCGCAGCCCAGTGAGTCCACAACAAATTTTGACCACTGTGATGACGCAATATCAACGTCAAAGAAAATCAAGTGCGAGCTGAAAAAGGCATTGAGTGAC